TACAGTATACAGGCCCCTTCTCCCCAAATCGTATTATGATATTAAATTGAAACACCCGTCGTTGAATATTCCTGGCTACGCGCCTGCAGGAGTGTTATCCTGAACTGTGAGACATCCTGTAGATATAAATGCAAACGTATGCGGATTACCTGTCTACGGATTTTTTCACACAATTTCCACAGCACAACAGTAATTACGRTATTTAACGTGCCAGGTGTTGGGTATTGTTAACGTAAATAACCAGCACAAGTCACAGTATTCGGGTATAAAAATACAGAACTTGTGTTAACCTGCGATTGTTATACAAAAAAGCTCAATGATGGCTTGCATCCAAATATTGGCGTTCGTGCTGTGCTCTTTCTTCTTACAGGTAAATTCAAATAGAATAAAATCAATATTAGGTAGGTATCTAAATATATAAAACGTGAAGACTATATAATAGTACCTATATAGCTGATATTTCAGTATTTGGTACCTACTAGGTTTTACCTTCATCATATATTATGACTTATTGACTATTGTATATTATTCAGGAATCGTGTCGATCAGTTCTATATTCAAAAATTCAGTTCTTATACTTAGATTGTCTGTGTATAATATACCTATAGTTATCTAAAACCTACGTTTTATATTATAGTGTAGGTAGTAAGTTTATTTGTATAGAATTATATAGTATTATTTTCAGTGTCGGCCTGGTACTTAAAGGGCCCCGGATGCATTTCTTCTGAAGGGCCCCCAAACATGTAATGAAATAAAAATGATAAAAAATGCTTATAAGTAGTGAAATATTATATTTTTAGTAATATCGGGGCCCCTCGACACAAATACGGCCGGGGGCCCCGGATGCGTTCGCGGCCTAGCGGCCATGGCCAGGCCAACACTGATTATTTTCTAGAAACACAAGTTTATGGTACCCATATCAATATCATATAAATAATTAAGCAAACAACTGTAAATTAATATAATCCACCTTCTCTTGTGCCTTTGTTATGTAGACGACTTCAAAATCTATGTAGATGATTGTTGAAGTATATTCGCGAGGTATTTTACAATAAATCATTTATCATTACTATGAGCTTTTTTTTTATATACACATTGTTGCGTATCCTATAGACCTGAATGAGATATCTTCAGGCCACGCCTTCTAAATAAAGTTTATACAAAAGGACCTATATAATATAGGCGTGCGCGGGGGATCCGGCATGAATGCAATCGCAATTATATGGCATCTCCCGTAGAGTTATTATAATCGTAGTTTTTATTTGTAAATTTTTTGATTAGAATCATAGACTACTACTATATATTTCATGGACTCATAGTAATATAACATCTTAGCTCATGATTAGAACTTGAATATTTTGATAATTTTTTTTTTCTTATAAACATATTGGATATTCAGAAGAAACCAAAATATATTAATTAGATTTCATTGTTATATTTTCATTTAGATTCGTATTTACATTATTTATTAGATGAATTATTTTATATTGATAGGTATTGAGAAGTTATTTTCGTATATTTAGTTAGGTTTATGGTATACATTTTAAAAACACCGGAATACCTTTCGAAAKAAATCTGCGCACGCCAAATGACCTCYATACCGTAACTGTTATATCTGACCAACGTCCAGCAGTAGCAGTATACCCAAATACAAAAGCTTAATTTCAAGGTTTCTATGTGACTTTATAGATACWATAAAATTACATWGCATTTCAATTTTTTTTTTCTAATGTTAAAATYCTAACTCATTGTTTATTGTTTGTTCTATATGTTTTGTTTTGTCCTCTAWTATATTTCATGAATTATTRCAGTGTAAGTACTATAGGTAATCAATTATCGTCCGTAAGTGCACTGCGTCAAGTCTGTTTCTTACAATATGCAACTAGGTTTTTTAACCCGTTTAACTAAAACAAAAAAACTAAATATCTCTATTTGCCTAAATACCTAAGTATGATACAGTAGAACCCCTCTCGTACGCCCTCTGCTAGTCCGCCGCTCCGGTTGATCCGACCATAGTATTATGGATATGAATAATACTATGTAAATTAAAAAGTACAATTTGGATTTTCCAATTTATAGTAGATGTATAAAATTAATTGCTAGTTCAATATTTCCCTTATTAGTCTTAGTAGTCTTTAGTCTTATTATATTAAGACATAGCTACATACAAATATAAAATATAAGTGCAAGGCTGGGATTTCAAAGATCCCAATTTCAAGATTTTTTACTCGTTATGTTATAAGTTATACTAAAATAATAAAGTTTAGTTAAATGTTATTCATATATTTTTTCGTTACCTCGTTAATTTAAAAGTTAACATTGAAAAAAAAGTAACTTAGACTCAGTTTATTATAAAAATTTTCTAATTTGCAAAAAAAAAAAAATCCAAGCACATAAAATGGTTTATTAGATAGCTTTTCAGTTTTCTTTTCCCACGCTCAAGAAAATTACTGGAGAAATTTAAAATGMTACATCAATAAGCACCATCTATCAAAAAATCTACTTGTCTAAAAAAAAATCATGAAATTCTGAATTCTGAATTCATACTTGACTCCATCTATCCGAAAAGTGGTATACATGTTATTCGGACAAAAATATGAACTTAATTTAGATACTTTTGAATAATATTAATTTGAAATTAACACGTTAATCTTAAAAAAATAAATTATTAAGTTAAGAATAATTAATTTGAATAAAAAAGTAACGAGTTAATTTACTTAACGTTTTAACTAATAATTTTAACTTTTAACTCGCCAATGCCCAGACTCATAATTATGTATATCAAATCWATATCAGAGTACCAACACAGCTTTTCATCGTTTTATTAGGATGTTTGTGTTTTTTTGTCAAACGACTACCTACCTAGTCCATCAGCGAATTTTGTTCGTTTCTCGGACGTTATATAACTGTACACTTGGACGTTATCGTGTTGTTGCAGGACGCGTTTTCAGTCCGCTATAATGGAGTTCAATCCAATGAATCTGACGACCAGATGATGCAGACCATTGAAGAAGTGAACGAGGCACCAGAATCGTCTCCGTCGCCATCCAAAAAGTACCCGAACTTGACCGCCGTGAAAGACATGTTCTGGGACACGATTGAGAACATCAACCGGGCCAACGAGAACGGCAAGCTGGAAATTAGGGCGTTGAGGAACACGATGAATAACGTGCTCAGAGACGATGTGTTCTGGTCATCACTGGTGAGGCTGATGAAGAAGTATGCCTCTGTGACTTTTGACAGTAAACGGGCCGACCGCAAGATCCAGCTGTACAACACGTTTACCTCCATCATCACCAACCCGACTGCCGTACAGGGCTTTGAGGATATTACCAACGAGTTGTACAACACGGTGTCCAGCATCCGGATGGACGTTGACTCGAACGCCGTACAGAAGGTCACTAATATGGTCAACAGCGGCAGCATGATCAGGGATCTGGACGCGATCACTGGCATCGTGAACAAAATCGATTGGTGCCCTAAACATTTGATCAAGGATTTCGATTTTATCCACATGACGCTCAACATGTTAGGCTCCATGAAAATGAACAATAACATGTCCAAGGGCCTAATTTCATTCTCGTCCAATTTCAAGTAGAGCGATTCCGCGCGTGTTATTATATAATATGTAGGTAGTTATCAAATATATATAATCATCGCGTAAACGCTGTATGATAATTAAAATGTCATTTTTGTGCATGTGTATAATACGCGTACTTTAAATATTTGAGTGTAAGTGACAAACCATAATATTATATTATGATTTATGATACCTAATTAATTACTTTATATTATTTAGATATACCTATACATCTGAGCAGCGACAAATATTATGTTATACCTAATATAATATTATTTTGTTAACTTTTAATTATTACAGTAATCATCACTTACGTAAGTACATTATTTCAATATCATATATCATATAAAATACCTGTGCAACTATTATGGAATAAAATATTATATTGACATTAAACTCCATTTGTTTTTTTAAATCATATGATCACAGTCGTGAATTTTGTTCCAAGAGACTTCAACATTTCTATATACACGACCCTGCAACTATAACATAGTCCATAAAGGTACATATTTTGTAGTTTTGTACGTTTGGGGTGTTGCTACAGTGGCGAAACAGGATCTCGGGATACCTGATACACTTTGGGAACATTATCGTTAACTATAAATATCTATACAGACTATAATAGAAATACCTCGACTTGCCTATCAATATTAAATATTGAAAAAAAATGAAAAAGATGTTGCAGCTTATAAAATAACTTCAGCAGAAATACTGGAAAAGTATTCTACTATAGTAATATTGTTGGAGCCGGTAAAATTAAGCGAGCGATAACGTAATATAATATATTAATTATATATATATATATATATATATATTATTAATATAACGTCGTTCAGGGGACTTCGTCGCATATTATTTCTTATACCTATCATTAGTAGCGTCAATGCGTCATAGCTATCCAACCAAACACACCGTTTCGACGCGTTACATGCTGCTATTTACTATATTAAATAAAATCACAGATAATACACCAAAGTTCGGATTCATAATATTAAATATCCCCTTTGGCCCTCAACAGTAGGTAATAGAAAAATAATATCTACCTAGCACAATGAACTAAAGATAACAACTTTTTACTTTCTTGTAAGTTAGAAGCAATTATTATGATTACACAATAGGTACCTTCTRAAATCGTCGTACATAAATTAAGCCTTAGAGCAGTGGTTCTTAACCTTTTTAGAACCACGGAACACTTATAATTTTTTAAGATTTTTGAAGAGCACTAGGTCGTAAAGACGTAAAATAAAACAATAGGTACTTTTCATTTTTTTTTTACTAAAATTATATACATATACTCGTATTGTGTTGTATTAAGTACAATTATTTAAAACGATTAAACCAAAAATTAAATTATCCCAATAATTTTATGATTTTTTCGCATATTTCGAAATGTTGTCGGAACACTTTAGCCAAGTTTATGAAGCTCCGGTGTTCCACGGAACACCGGTTAAGCACCGCTGCCTAAGTTAATTTTTTAGTAAACATTTTTTTTTAAAATATTTTACATTTATCCTAGGGTCGCCAAGCGTAAAACCCAGAGTCTGTATAAAATAAATAAATATACGTTATATTATTATAGAGAGAAACAACTTTATTCATAGTGAACTGCCCGTCTATCAGGTTGCCCTTGCCTATACAAGGTAAACACAGTGACACAGTGTAAAAATCAAACATATTTGTAACTGTAAAAAATGGATAAAAATAGTATATAAATGGGGTTAAAAAATTTTAAAAAGTAAAGCATACAATAAATTACGGAGTGATCATAGAATATAAATGAGAAATCATTATGTTTTAAACATGGTGAATAAGATTATAAGTAAAATAAAAGTTTTATAATATGGATGTGTATAATATTAAGAGTATAAATGCTTATGAATAATGTTAAGTGTGTCTCTCATGACAACTAAGCACATTTCTTTAAGTTTTCTTAATTCTAATGCATTTTTTTTTTTAAGTCTCTGAGCAGAGGCGATGCAGTCTCGCGTGCCCAGAACCATAGGCTATGAACTTCCCAATTGCTTACATGGTATTTTTCGTTAAAGAAAGAGACAGTTGGCTTGTAAATGGATTTCTTTTCTTCATCCACTAACTTGTTTAGTGTATAAGTAATTTTTTATGATCAAAAATCGGATTAGACTTTAATCTCCAGCTTATACCTTTTATACTATACTTTTTTTGGAGATAATTCTTTATGTTGTTCAAAGACTTTTGAATGAATGTTTTTAAAGATGGTCAGCAGTCAACTGAAGATAACTCATGTTATGGAATGATGTTGTGGTGAAAATGTGTAAAAAAATTCCAAAATAACCAACAATTAACAGAATATAAATATAAATATTTATTAGGTTTTGTCATACAATTTTAAGAGAAAATGTACTATTGATAACTGAGAAGAGTGACTGAAAAATTGGTTCTGTATCATAAAAATGTGCCAGCATATGCAACTCTGTTCAGTGTTCATGAATTTTTGTCTCATAAAAATATTCCACATGTGATTTTTTTTTTTAGTTAAGTAAGTTAAAAGTAAATATTGCAACAGAACATAAAATCTCAACTTCAAAATACTTTCAAAAACCTTTTGAAATATGGTAATATTATTAGGATTATTGCATTTTGTCTTGAGGTGAATATTTTGGAATTATCTTTAAATAACATGCAACATAAGTTTTGTAAGCCTATATAAAAAATTAAATCTCATATACTTTTAGACAAACTAAAATCATTTTTTTCTAGACCAGACAGCTCATATAATATTTATTATTTATATTTAAAATATTTGTTTAGTGATTCAATCTTTAGTACAACAATAATTTACTAGAAACAAATGTAAATTCATTTATAATTATAATCTTTTTATTTCAATCATAATTTAACGTTTAAACAAGAAAATTAATTCACAATGTTTTGTATGAGGAAACATATCAACTGGTTTTATGGAATTCAATGTAAAAGGACGAGATTTTTTGTTTTTAACAACTAATTCCACAAGGTTTTTCATAGTTATTGGACTGTCCGCTTTACATGACACATATGCAAGACTGTTGATCAACCTGTTATTTCTAATAGCATTTATGACTTTTGGATCTAAAAACATAGACAATTAATAAAACATTTAACATGCTATGTATAATATATATATCAACTTACGCACGCCTGCTCGACCGGGATTTAATACAGCACATAAATCACTGGTCATGCTCAATTCACTCAAAATTTGTTTTAATACCTTTAAAAAAAWATATTATGAATTGCTTCAGTTTGTTAGTAAAGGGAACACTTGTGTAATTACCACTTCTACTTTTCCTTCAATAAAATCACAATTGTGTACATTATTTATTTTTGCAGTCTCTTTAGCGTCATTAACGGCCTGTGCCACAGATTCAATACCAACACATGACTGTACACGTTGACTGCCTATTATACTTACTGTACCTATGAAATTAAATTAATTTGTTTAACATCTCAAAAATAATTCAATATTTATCTTTAATTGTTTATTATGATTGTATTTTTAAGAAATTATACCAGTGCCTGAACACAAATCAAGCAGGGTAGATGTCTTGGTTGGATTAATCAATTTGAACAATTCGTTGTATAAAACTTCAGCAGCTAATGTGTTAATTTGAAAAAATGAGTCTGGAGATATTCTAAACTTAAAACTGCATAAATCCTCATAAATATATTTATCTCCATCAACAAGAATGAATGTTGAATCTTTTGAACTTCTAGTGTGCAAACTAAACGAGTTGAACAAAATCTATATTTAATACAAAATGTCTCAATTAACATATCATATACAACAATAAGTTAACACGTTGACTGCCATGCGGCCGCCAGCATCCGTATAAAAATAATTAGGTATTGATAATTTTTAGACTGCTGGCTGCAGCACCATAGCATTCGTAGGAGGCCATACGGCCGCAGGCTGCAGTAAGTTAATTTGGATTTATATTGTTAACTTTTCCATGGCACTACAATAATGATCTTAAAAATACGCTGTGGCGTAGTGCGAATAATTGCAATTTTTTAAATGTAATAAACATAATTTTAACATTTTTTTTTTCAAATTCAATAGTATATACAGGGTGATTCTTTTAAGTGAGTGCACTAATTATCTCGAAAAGTATTTACTTTTTTCAAAATATTTTTTTACATGGTTTCAACTTGTTAAAAAACCAACGTTTTTATTAAAAAATTATATTTTTAAATAATTTTTATCCTTATCATTTTTTAAGTTTTTTACTTTTTTGAATGACAACATAGAGTTTTAATTTCATATTCCAAACCAGAATATTTTTCTAAGTATTTTGATTCATAAAAATCGAGTTTAGGACGAGTAGTTAATGAGTTATATGTATTTAAAGTTTAGACAAGCGAAGTTGTGGAAAAACATTTTGCGGGGTAACAACGTACCACTCCACTCTGCCAATCTAAACTTTAAATACTTATAACTCAAAAACTACTAGCCCTAAATTCGATTTTTATGAATTAAAATACTTAGAAAAATATTCTGCTTTGGAATATGAAATTAAAACTCTATGTTGTCATTTAAAAAAGTAAAAAACTTAAAAATGATAAGGATAAAAAATATTTAAAAATATAATTTTTTAATAAAAACGTTGGTTTTTTAACAACTTTCAAAATATTTTGAAAAAAGTCAATACTTTTCAAGATAATTAGTGTACCCACTTAAAAGAATCACCTTGTATACAAATACAAATTTATAATGACACTGAAAAATATCTTTGGCTTATCCATGATAAATATTCTTGAGGCCACCGGCGGCTACATGGCAGTCAACGTATTAATAATTACCTGGGATGAAAATACAAAGATTGTAAATCAATATTAATACTCTTCAAGTAGTCATTAAATTTACGCTGTTCATCTAACATAATTTCATTGGTATAACCTCTAGGATTAGCAACCACAATGGCCATTTTGTCACCTTTTAAATTACTACGCACAATGATTCCTCGCCAAAAACCACCATCCATGTGATCATAACTAGCGGGCAATTCAGATTTTCTAACAAAAGCTTCAAAAACCTTAAAATGAAAAAAATTATATCAATACATCTGGTAGACATGATTAAGACAAAAATATAAACTACCTGAGCAATATCTTTATGTGACTGTTTCATATTAATTAATTTCATGGCAGACACACAATAGATATTTCCTTCAGATGGATTGTTGACAAAAAATCCAAGGGTTTTAGGGTCACCATCGATACCAGGTCGAAAATTAAATTCATCTTTATTGCGGTATTCATTTATTTGTGGCTAATACATACACACGAAAAAATAAAAATTATAAAAGTACCTATGTAGGTAATCAAAAAATATACAATATTATTGTAATAATAAATACATACAGATGACGAGATGGGGAAGATTTTAGGTAGTGTAATCAAGGTTTTTGCACTGTGTAGTCGACTGCGAACTTCTTTGCATACAGTATTTGTCCACTGTTGTTTCAAAACCAATTGTTTCTCATAAGGCATTCGACATAATGGAGTTACAGATTTTTCCAACGCACGAAATTGGGTTTCGTCAGTAAGTATATCCGAATTGGACACTTCAACTTTGTTGGTAATAACTGAACTCTAATAATAAATCATTTATAGTAAAGTGATATTAACTATTTAACAAAATTATTAGTATACCTTTTTACGAATTTGCATCCAATGATTAATAAACGAGTACGTCAGGTATATGGGCCTTTTAATGTTTACAATGTTGTGTAAATTATTATTATAATAAGGTGAATACATTTTAAATAAAACCAAAATAATATTATTTTTATATGTCTTCAAAAGTTGCCAATATAGGTATCTAGTATACTGTTAAAATTTTTAAAACAGCGGGTAGGTGCAGAAGTAGTGTTCAATAATAAAAAAACAAAAACAGATACACTTTTAGATAGATTGGGCGCCAAAAACGGTGGTCACTGGTCAACGTTGTCAACGATATAATAAACAGGGTTTTCTACATCGCGATTGAACCACAGAATTGAAAGTTTGAAAATTGAACTTAACTATAAAAGCAATAAAACTTTGTAATCTATAACATAAATTATTATCAATGGACCTATGGACTAGTTTAGAAGAGTGATAAGTCTGATAAGAGTGATTACAATGGCTTTTTTATCGGGGGCGAAACGTCTGCGATTCAATATTACATAATATGCTAATAATTATGAACTAATCTGGGTTAATATAAAAACATTTTTAGTTATTGATCAAAGTTAATGTTTTGAAAACCATATTTATTTTAGCTTGATTCTGAAAATACATGTATTATTTATCATTGATTTTAAATGACTCCAATGCTTTGATACTCTTGTATTATGATAATGATATTATATAGTTGATAAATGATATTGTATACCCAATACCTGCATATTTATCTTCACACCCTATAAATGTCAATATTGGTTCCCCAAGCTATGACGGGGTTGGTAAATTGAGTCCCAAATGACCCTAACTCGGTAAATTGAGTCCCGGGGAAAAATAGGTAGTAGGTAAGTTGAGTCCCAGAAAAAATAAGGTAGAAGGTAATTTGAGTTCCAGGGAAAAACAATTTATATGCATTTAAAATTTAAAAATATACTCTATAAAAATTTTTAAATTTTAAATACATATAAATTGTTTTTCCCTGGAACTCAAATTACCTACTACCTTATTTTTTCCTGGACTCAACTTACCTACTTCCTATTTTTCCCCGGGACTCAATTTACCGCTTTCAAAATGTACCAAACTTATCTCGGACTCAATTTACCTAGCCCCAGCTATGAGTATAGCCTATTCACTGGCTCACTGCACTTAGTTAAGTTTGTAAATATAAGAACATGCTAAAGAAATAAATTCCAGACAAGTTTTTAAAAATAATTCATCATTAAGGCAAAAATTAACAAAATTGATTTTATTTAACAATATTTAGAACTGCTCATTAAGTGTACAAATTGAAAGTGTTTGGTTTTTTAAAATTATTTTGTATAATTTATACTTTGATCGTATTATATTATATTAGTGTATGTAAATGTATGTAATATTATATATGTTATTAATATTTTTAAAGTAAATAATAAGTACCTATTTACATTTGTATAATATGTATAGTTATGTTGACTATAATTTATACACATGTAGTTTGTATGTACTGTTTCTATTTTATAAGAGTATCCTTATAAATTATAATTCTGTTATTAAAAAATATTTTATATTAAATTGTTTTTATTGGTTCCGTTTAATCATTTTTAAACGTAATAATACTTATTTCTTATTTATAACTTTTAGTTGCCCTGCAGTGGTGGAGGAAACGTTTGAATACGTCGGCTTGTTTTTCATAACATAGTAGTTATACACAGTGCACTTTCCAGTATAGTTTATAATATACACACCACAGATATTTGTAAATAGAAATGCTTAATTTGATGACTGGTACCTAATCAATTAATACACTTTTGGTATACAACCTTTTTTAGTTTTCAGTGGTAGTTTACTAACTAAAAGAAAGATTCATTATCAAATATACTTAACAACATTATTGTAAGCTATCTAATCTCAAATGTTTTTTTCTAGTTGATTGAATTAGATAATAATTAAATTATTCAATAAAGAAAAAAATTTATATTCACAATTAAATAGATATAGGTTTAATGAATAACAGACTATGTGTTGAATAACCTTATAATTATAAATGGGATGAATATAATAAAAACGAATATCGTTTTAACATAACAAATAATAAAGAATCATTAAAATATTATAATTAACTCAAAACAAAACCATCATAATAATAATTAGTAAAACAATATTCATAAATAGTAATTAAATACAGAATTAGACAGAGAAGTAAAAATAAATATTTTTAGTTATAATAAACATAATACAATATAAAAATTAATATTTGTTTTGCAAATTAAGTATATTTAATACAGAACTAAATCATTATCTGTTCTAAAAATATTCTTATTAGTGAAACTGGTCAAATATTTCTCAAACTGTAAAAATTGTATAGTTAAACTATAATCTAAGTTTTTTGTATCATAAAAAAATAATGAAACTAACAATCACAGTAAGGATTTCAGAYTAAGCACCAGATAATAAAAATTGAAGACAATTTGAAAAGTTTTAATGCCAATAGGTTTAACTAGATAGTGAATAATAACATAAAAAAAGAAGCCACCGTGAAGTGCTTACTTAAGTAATTCAATGAATAATAAAATAATAATATAAAAGAACGTACTGTAAAAGTAAATCATGCCAACAATAGCCATATAATAAATACCACTGCAATCCATAAGAAAAGTTTAGATAAGTAATGATCATCTTGTGGTAATTGACCACCAACTGGAACTAATTAAATTAAATCCGTCATTGAAAGTAAGAATTCATAAATGAAACTATTATTAATTTATACTTACCTCCATGTGGACGATCAGAGAAATTAAAAGATGTTAAAAATCCAAAAGGAAATGCTCCTATTCCAAATGACAAATGGAAACCACCATCTCCAAAGTTAAAACCAGGGAAACCCTAACAAAATTTAAACCGATTCTAATTAGAATTCTTCAAATAAAATTTTTACTAATCAATAGCTTACAGTATTAGCATCAGGTTCAGTTCTTTGACCAGCAGGCCTAGGTGGCACTTTATTTCTGAAACCAGAAAAATAATTTTAAAAATAGGAAGTAACAACCTGATATTTAAATAGACTCTTATGAGTACAATTTTTACTATAAATAATGAATTAAAATTGTTTGTATTAATGTGAGCGTTGGTATAGGTTCCAGTAATAAAACTTATTTTTTAAAACATTTTTAATATTATTAATCTAAGATAATATATTATTATATTATATTAGATTTATATTATTTATATTTATTTTACATTATAATTAATAAAATATTCAATTTAAAAGTAAACATTCAATTCATCATGTGTATTTTAATAAAATATGTTGTATTAATTTAAGGGTGAAAAAACTTCAATTTTAACTTACCTGGGATCTTCTTGTTTGGTATTTCCACGTCCATAGATTGGTATTACTTTATCTTTACTTATAACAGCTTTACACACAGGGCATACTTGTCGACTTGAACGAGTTTCTAACCATTGATGCAAGCATGGCCAGCTATAACATTAAAAGTTTTAGGTTTTAACAAATTAATATTAAATTACTGAATAATAGTAATAACTCAGATCCAGTTTAAAAATCCATCATATACAATGGTGGGTTTAAAAATTAATCAGATTTTTGTCAATCATTTTTAATTAATTTAATAAAACAATGTTTAATGTAATAATATACTAACAGTACAATAATAATAATAAATACCTAATAAATGTATACATTTTTTTCTTTGCATATTTTCTGTAGTATATATTTTGACTATTATAGCCTCTATAACTTGCAAGCCATAAACTGAATGATAACTAATTACTCACCAATGTGAAATTAATTAAATGTTTTAAATGAATAGTTCTAATTTTTTTTGCAAGCAAATGAGCAGAATGTAATGGCAGATCAAACATGATCTATGAGAAGCATTTTCTTTTTATTCTTTTTTAATGTTAAGGGATGGATGGTGACTCAATATGAAAGCAAAAAACAATTACTAAATAATAATAATAGGAGGCACAAATAGTAATAGTAATGCTAATGTTACTTTTTGTGCAGCGCCAGATAGACTAGGTATTGATCTACCGAGTTTTAGATTTTTAACCGTTCCTAAAAGGAACATTTTCAAGTGAACATTTCTAAATTGACCTAGATTTTACACAGTGTATCAAGTTAAATAAATGTTTTTAAATTTGTATTTTAAAATAATTGCCTAAACACTAACAATCAGTCTTTTTTTTTTAGAGATCTGAGATTTTCGCATTAGCTCGCCGCTTCAATCCAGACCTATACTTGTTTTATTTACTAATTATTAGTAGTAGGTTGGTGGGTCAATTTTAGGTTTGTTTCACTATTGGCAGAACGATTAAGTACCTAATTTAGTCTTTATTATTTATTAATTACTATTCTAATTTATAATTATTTAATTACTTTTTGCATACAAGATATATCATGAAAGTTGGTTGCGATTTCTATTGTTATCACGTCAGCAATGTTATTATAGTTTTGATTATTAGCTATTATTTAAATTAAATACTACAAAGGTAAAAACCATTTTTTAACTAAGGAGTAGTGAGTACATACACCAGATTATGATTTTTTTTAATTGAAGAAATTTAAAATTCTGTTGCATGATAATTGTAGGCCACATCTTGCTTGATCAAAGATTACGAACACAGAAATTATCGACCAGTCTTGAAAAGAGTTTAAAGAGTGATGGAAACCATATTACAAAATAGTGCTATAATTTTTCTTTATGTTCAATTAATATATATTTTACTAGAACAAATTATCAAACAGAGCTTTCCTGAAATTATATTTCATAATTTATGAAAATGTGTTGGGTTAGGTAGGTAGGGACTTAACTAAATTTCAATCACTATTTTTAATGCACTCAATATTTTGTCAATAAGAGAAATTGAACAATTTACAAATACTAATAAATTTAATTGGTACTCAAGTTTTAATTTATCATTGGTACTAACCAGAATAAATGGCCACAAACACTGACAACCGCATCCTTTGCATAATCCAAGCATATGTTACATTCAAACATGTTATTCTGTTCATCTTTGTTATCATTATCTTTGTCTGTGTTCTTTCGTGAAGAATCTGACCCGTTGCTAGTGGTTGCCATTGCGTTCTAACACATTCAAAAACAGACTTAATATTGGAATGTAATAATTAATAATATTGTAGCATTAGTCCTATGTAATATTTCATACAGTAGACAAACACGTCATACACACACCTGAAAATAAAAAATAGATCTCGAATAATTAATATTAAATGTATGGTAATTGATTGTAATTGATGTAAACAGTTTTATAATTTTGGTTATGATTATCTCTTATGAAAACGTTAACAACTACTACACACACATGACCGTCATATGTGATTAACGAAAAATGATGTAACATTGTTTTTTAAACTTACGACTAGATGAATGTATGACGTATTTGCTCAGACTGATCTTACATTTTATAAGTCCGTTAGGTTACAGGTTTCAATGGGTAAAATAATAATATGATGTATGTCGATTGTCGGACATGCACTTCGAGGTTCGGAAACAGACTTATGGCCGACAGACCCAAAAGTTAGAGCGAAATAGAAATAAAATAGCACAAAATTAGAACGCGGGGACAAACCACCTATCGACAGTATTATAATTATTTATTAATCTTGTTTTTTAAGTGTAATGCATTTACATTTTATATCATAATAATCAATCATACTACCCAAGGTTTTTACTTTTTAGATAACATTATCTAATAATCTATTTCAAATTTCAATACCATAGATGCGCAGAAGAAATGGCACTGGGTCAGCACTTCAGCAGGCTGATCTTACAGGTATATGTGATGGGATGTATGGACCACGATTATATCTTATCTATAATCGTGGTATGGACTAAGGCCACTACGAATTAAGAATTAAGATATCTTAATTCGTGATGGACACTGAATGATAATGAATTTATTTAATTTCCATAATATTATATTAGCCAAGCGTTAGTTACCTATAAAATGTATTTAATAGAAAGTAAAATAAAATAATTAGAATTTACTGCAAACAAAATATGTAATATATTTTAGTCCGTAGTAATAAGTAATAACTATTAACTACTAAAACTAACAAAACTATAGTAAGTTAAAAGTTGGTTAAAAGTTCATAATGTTTCAGAATTGGCAGAATTTCTTTCAATCTTTCAAATTATTCAAAATGAAAATAAGATATTTTACGTATAAAATTTTGATTCCAGGAAGTTGAAAGCCTGAAATTATAATCACACATTCACACTATCACGAAAATACGAAATGTAGTTTTTATATTTTACGTCAGAAACCATTGAACTGTATAAATATAATAATTATATAGCTATAAGTATTAAGCATAGACGTGTATAGTTATATACGCCTGTGATTATAAGTAATTATATGGTATATAAACATATAGTTCAATGACAGAAACACTAAACACAGAATATATGCATAGATAACAAGCTAACAACACCCAACACAATAACACACAGTTATAACTGTGAAAATAATAGTAATAAGTTAATCATTTGTATCTATAGTAATCGAAATAAATCTCCCTACGAAAGATCCAAAAAAAATTCCTTGACCAAAATATTATATTACACACAATCGCATGAAGATGATTTTAATTTTTAATATTAAATTTTTATTATACATTATACTTATTGTTCAAAAAATTAATATATTATATAATATTATAAATAATTTCAAATAAATTCTTAATATACCTCTTATATATTTATATGAATATTTCGAATGATCGAGTCTAGAGTCGAGTCAATATGTTTGTAAAATATAGGTGGGTAATAATAATTAATAATACATCTATATCCACAGTAGATTTTTAATTGTTAAAAAAATAGTATTCCTATAAAAATATTTTTATAATACCTAATAATAATGATATCATGATAATAATTATACTTATAGTTATTGAATTGAAGTTAAATATCTATAATAATTACCTATATCGAACATTTGAAGTTTTTATTATACATAAATACATAATCATCAAAATATTATAGAAAAGTAATATTTTATTTCAGGGTACTTTATTTTTAAATTAATAATAAAACGTTCCTAGCCTATGGCTATCTACATTTTCAGGGTACTAAATATATTAATTTTTTGAACGATAAGTGTAATATAATATAATATACCAATTTGTAAAAAATATTTATATAAATCATTTTTAATTTTTATGTGAGTAATAATCGTCTAATATAATGTAATATTTGGATTTTTTTTCTAAAATCTTTATTCCGGGATTCCTTAACGGGTATATCTGTGTACAAAAATTGATGGCACAGACCGTCATCATTTTCGTAACATATTAAATTAAATTAAATTAATCATGTTTCGTAACAACTAACAACGTAACCTTATAAAAAAAAGACAAAAGTAGTACTTATTATACATAATATTATTATATTCTGCGATAAACTGATAATACTCTTAACTGGCCCTAACTTAAGAGGACGTTTCACCCGCATGTGTTGTCTCCGTCTTACAAGTGCGTAACATTRCAAAAACTKTTWYGCRCGGGAAAGAACCRRGAARGMTACAGTTATAACTAAGAAACGAAATTTTCACCACATAAAAAGGAGAATTTTCAATTTTGTCGGTGCAATATTTATTTTTTATTTTTTCGATATCAGAACTACAAAAAAGTTATTCATGCTTAAAAAACACAAAATTAATGTATTATAAAACAATAAAAAATTTTTTTGTATAAGTGATATCGAAAAAATAAAAACGATGTTGCACAGACAAAATTCCCCTTTTTATGTGGTGAACATTTCGTTTCTTAGTTATAAGTGTATCTTTCTCGGTTCTTTCCCGCGCGAAACAGTTTTTGCAATGTTACGCACTTGTAAGACGGAGACAACACATGCGGGTGAAACGTCTTCCTAACGATGTCTATGGTTATTAGGTATACAGAAAATTGAATCCCAGAAAGTTTCGATTCTGTAATTAAATTTATATAAAATATCAAACTCCTTGAAATGTTTGTCCTCGTCCTTAATGTATTCCATATTTTCATCCAACATAACTATTCACTATATACCTATACACCAGTAACTACCTATTTGAAAATAATATACTACATTATTATTATTATTATTTTTTTTTTGTAGTACGGTAATAGTAGTAACTATATAACGACAGTAGCATCTAAACGATCTATCTCAAATCCTTAACTATGAACTATAATAGTTATTATCTATTAAATCATGACTTATAGCTTAATATAAATTTAATAATATGTTCTGTGTCCATACGGTTCATTTATTTAATCTATGATACTTAATTCTTTGACTGTGGTGAAAACTGTAGACAGTTAGCATTCTGATATAGTTTTATTATGGTTTTAATTTATTAATAGTAAGTAATATTTACAAATTGTAGATAATCAATAAATATCGAACTTACAGGCTACGGCTACACATGGCAAAATAAAAAAAACATTGTCATAAGGTTACAGTCAAGATTATGAATAGAGATATTACGATTCAAACTATATTGTAAGTGTGTAAGTGTAACTGATTATCTATGATCTATTGGTCTAATTAATTATAACTAGGTACTCTGTACTGTGTTTACTGTGAATTCTGGCACGGCATATCTCATTTTTAAATATGAACTAGATAATATATGGTCTTATGATTTTATTGCATTTCGGTTTGAGGGTTATTCGGTGTTAGAAAATTAACATATTAAACATTATTGATTGGTACATTAAAAATAGAATTAATAATTTATTAATGTCATTTGAAAATCAAAATCAAATTATAGTGGGAGTAACTTTTTGCTCCATGAAACATTGTCCGTCGGAACAAGTATTTCGTGGAACAATATGTGATGTCCCGCTATATTTTAGCGTCGTGATATTGAACCACAGAATGTAGCCTGCTGCCTGCTGGTGATTCAAAGCGTTTATGAATCATGATTACGACCAATCGGAGGGCAGAATGCATAGAAAAGATGATGGCAGCCGGCAGAACGTGAAAAATGAAAATATATTGTTTATTTGTTTATATATTAGTTTGATTTTGATAATCTTAACTTTTCAACTTTCAAGCAGGCGCGTGAATTCAATAATTATTGTAAAAGGTAATAATATTTTCATTAGAATAGTCATTTCCTTAGGTAAAACTCATATTTAGATAATATTATTTAGAAATCTTCCTGTATTTGAATTTCAATAATTGTATCTTAATTACAAAATATGTTCACAGAACTATAATCAAATAACAAACATAACCATGGCTACTATGCCAGTAAATCCAAAACCATACCTTAATGGTCTTATGGGTAAAACCATAATCGTTAAGCTTAAATGGGGTCACGAATATAAAGGATTTTTGGTGTCCACTGACAATTATATGAATATACAATTAGCTAGTGCTACAGAATTTGTGGAGGGTAGTGAACCAGCTCTATTGGGCGAAATTATGATTAGGTAAGTCATTCGCAAAATATTATTATGTTTTTTCAAACTGATAAAAATATTCTTTTTACCATTCATTTTATATGTAATAATTCAAAAAGAATTATTCATAGTGTATCAAAGTATATTTTATAAACTGCAAATAAATACATTTTTTAAATTCTAGGTGTAATAATGTTCTGTACATTAGATCAGTTGATGATGAAAATGAAGAGGCTGATACTGAGATGAAAGAATGAATTAGGTAATAAAAACTCAACCAAATTTTCAAAATAAATTTAACTTTATTTTTAAATATATATATATTTAAAATTAAAATAATTTTTTGTATAAACTAAGACATTAGTATTAGATTATAAATAAAATAAAATACTTTTGTTTGTATGTTTTTCTGTTTATATTTGTGTAAATAATAAACATATATAGGTATTAGGTACATATCCAGTGGCAAAGCCCCTCATATGTTACTGTAATACAGTCATAAACGATTTATTCATGTCAATCAACATTAAATAATTACTTATAGACTTGCGGTATAATTTATTTATAATCTTTAAAAAATGTGCTGTTCAGTGGTCTGATATGGATCACGCAAAGTATACGTTTGCGTATTTGAAAACTAATATTATTATGATTTGGCCTTTTTTTTATATTGTTTGGTTTAAAAAATGTATTGATTCTAGATAGTTAGTGACCTGATTCCACCTTACAAATGTAAAACATAGCAAAAACTAAATTGGGTGGGAAAGAACTGAAAAGCCTTCGGTCATAACTGTGAAACGTTTTTAACACTTAAAAGGCTAAGTTCGACAGTTAAATAACATTTTTATTTTTTTGAGTAACAAAATATAAACTATAATAAAAGTTGTTCAAGTTTAAAAAATAATGGATTTTGAGTTCTAATAAGAACTTTATTGTTTAAGGGATACCAAAAAAATGAAAACAATATTTCACAGTCAAGTGTTCTCGGCTGTATTGTTAATCGTTTAGTGTTTTTATAAATATCACTACAGGCTGAATGTACATTTGTAAGACGAAGACAACATATGAAGTAGGAACATAATTGGTTGCATGGAGTATTTAATGGGGGACTTAGCCCCCTCCATAACTATTGTCTATTTCATTCAGGTAAATAAAATTGCGCTCATCAATCATCATATTAAACTTGGAACTACATTGTATCACTTTTGTAATTGTTTATCATAATATGGGTATTATGTACAGACAACGTACAGCCGTATCAATCTATTAACAGGTACATTAAAATAAATATTTTTAAGTGAAATACAAAAAGTGTATTGCTGAACATTTTTTTAAATTAAACAATATTTTTATAATAAATAAGTTTTATGATACCTTTTGAATAATCTTGACATATTGCTATAATAGGTAATAGCATGGCGTGTACCTTACATTCAATATTCATATTTTTTTTTACCGATTTTGACATTACCAAAATATGACATAATCTTGTATTATTTTATATTTGTATTAGTTATTAGTTATTAATAAATAAAACAACATAGTTTTACAATTTTTAATTTTACTAAAAACACTAAGCAAATATCCAATATAATGGTAGGTCTCATACTAAACGAATACCATAATATGATTATTCAGTCACAACTAATATGTTTTGTTTTGTGTGTATACATAAAAAATAATTGCGAAAATGTTTTGATTTTCAACATTAAAAGAGGTTTCTGTTAGCAAATAGGATCAGCTTCAAATTGTTAAGAGATAAAAATTACTGGGAAGAAATCCCAACAAAAAAATATAAATACATAAAAATATTTTAAAAACTATTATTTAGGTTTACATCTTGTTCCCAAACCTTGCATGAATATACTGATAATCTGGGTTTGGAATACACAAAATAAGTCATTAAATACTTCATTATAACTTATATAAGCACACAAATTAGTATTTAAAAGTATTAAAATAATTGACAAAAAAAAGCTCCACAACAACTATTAATACAATCATTTAAATTTTAAATTAAAAAACTTTAAAAAAATCTCATCTTTAAAGTAATAAAAAACTTGGCCTTTTTGAATTTTAAAAATGTTCTTTATTATACTTTTTATAAATATTTTGAATAAAATTGATTAGTTGATAAGAAGCAAATAACTCAAGTTTTAATGTAAACTACTATAATCAAAATAACAAAAAAAATAGAATAGGAGTTATAATCCTAAGGAGAACAATTATTTTTAGTTCTAGATTTACCTCTTGAACAAAAAAAAAAAAACAACAACAGATGTTATCTGACTTTCATTGGTTATTGTCAGTAGCATGTATCTTAGTTCATTATATAAATTGAGATATTCTAAAAAAAATTCTTAAAATTTCATAATAGAATGTGCTTAAAAGAATGTTAACAGTGTTAGCACACTATTTGTTTTCTCTCTGGCCAACGCGTAAAATAGTCAAAACGCGTTTACACAGAATAATTTTTTTTATGTTTTTAAATAATCTTAAAGTAAAATCAACTATTACAAAAAAGATAGAGAGTCATATTTTTGAGGGAATGACTATTATCGATATTATATTTTATTGACATTGATTTTGTGTTCGACTTTTTATATACATAAAAAATGTAAATTTAAGTGATTTTCAAATGGTTTTAATATGATATTTAGATAAGTCAATAAGTCATTCCCTCAAAACTATTATTTGTCTATATTTTTGGTCAAGGGTGATTTTATCCCAAGATTACTTAAAAACATAGAAAAAATTATTTTGTGTAAATGCGTTTTGTCTATGTTCTGTGTTGGCCGGGGGAGCGAAAACAAATAGTGGGATGATATATTCTATTAATATAAGAGTATGTGACATACACGATACACATCTCAATCTGCTAGATTTTATGTAAAATCATAAGAATAAATAAATACTATAAGTCTCGAGTCCTGCTGATGACACATGATTGAATTATATGTTAAAATGAACAAGAAATAAACAAATTAATAATAACTCGAAACTGTTTTGCCCAAACGTGACGTCATATCATTAAACATGATGGCTACGTCATAATTGCAAGATCTATAAAGATTATAGATCTTGGCTAAAATATAGCGGGACATCACATATTGTTCCACGAAACACTTGTTCCGACGGACAATGTTTCATGGAGCAAAAAGTTACTCCCACTATAATTTGATTTTGATTTTCAAATGACATTAATAAATTATTAATTCTATTTTTAATGTACCAATCAATAATGTTTAATATGTWAATTTTCTAACACCGAATAACCCTCAAACCGAAATGCAATAAAATCATAAGACCATATATTATCTAGTTCATATTTAAAAATGAGATATGCCGTGCCAGAATACACTACAGTAAACACAGTACAGAGTACCTAGTTATAATTAATTAGACCAATAGATCATAGATAATCAGTTACACTTACACACTTACAATATAGTTTGAATCGTAATATCTCTATTCATAATCTTGACTGTAACCTTATGACAATGTTTTTTTATTTTGCCATGTGTAGCCGTAGCCTGTAAGTTCGATATTTATTGATTATCTACAATTTGTAAATATTACTTACTATTAATAAATTAAAACCATAATAAAACTATATCAGAATGCTAACTGTCTACAGTTTTCACCACAGTCAAAGAATTAAGTATCATAGATTAAATAAATGAACCGTATGGACACAGAACATATTATTAAATTTATATTAAGCTATAAGTCATGATTTAATAGATAATAACTATTATAGTTCATAGTTAAGGATTTGAGATAGATCGTTTAGATGCTACTGTCGTTATATAGTTACTACTATTACCGTACTACAAAAAAAAAATAATAATAATAATAATGTAGTATATTATTTTCAAATAGGTAGTTACTGGTGTATAGGTATATAGTGAATAGTTATGTTGGATGAAAATATGGAATACATTAAGGACGAGGACAAACATTTCAAGGAGTTTGATATTTTATATAAATTTAATTACAGAATCGAAACTTTCTGGGATTCAATTTTCTGTATAATAACCATAGACATCGTTAAGAGGACGTTTCACCCGCATGTGTTGTCTCCGTCTTACAAGTGCGTAACATTGCAAAAATGTTTCGCGCGGGAAAGAACCGAGAAAGATACAGTTATAACTAAGAAACGAAATGTTCACCACATAAAAAGGGGAATTTTGTCTGTGCAACCTCGTTTTTATTTTTTCGATATCACTTATACAAAAAAAWTTTTTATTGTTTTATAATTCATTAATTTTGTTAGATCTTGACATAATTGTGCCCACGGTCTTAGAAGATCTTCTAAGACCGTGATTGTGCCTAATGCCTATACAAGCATATGATAAGGCGCGTCAATTAGCTTATAATATAAATTATGGTTGAAGGTTTACGTAATTACGTATCCCTACGGTAAGAAGTATTGGACTATTGGACTCTAAAAATTGTACCGTATCCGTAATCTGATAAGATGTTGGCAACGTGTATCCCTCTTCGTTACGAAATTTTAAAAACGGATACAATGCCAGGCACAGCAGGCTGCTGGCGTCTCGCGACAAGATAATTTCCGATACCAAAACTCAAAGCGCATGCGTGGGGACTTGGATTTTTTTTCAGGAATCGCATGCTTATCACTATTATTGCTTATCGCTATTCTTATCACTTTTGATCTTTTGAAATATATAAAAATATTATCATGTCTAAAAATAGAGTAAAATATAGACGCCCGAGTCAGATATATGGTACTTTAAAGTCTAATGTCTAAATAGTAATTATAGTATTATACAAATATTCATTAACTGCTAATAAATAAGTATGTTTTTATAATTATTAGTTAATTTAATATTTTTTTAATTTAGAATTTAGATTATTATTTTT